TGTGGAGCTGCTGTGGTGCACCTGCGAGGCCATCTGGGGACAAGGCGGAGCTCTCACCAAGTGGCACCCACAGCCCCTACCCAGCCCCTGCAGGCCACCCCACTCACGTTTGCATGCAGGGCCATCTGGCGGGCCACGAAGGGCAGGTTGCGGTCAGACACAATCTTGGCCACGCTGGTGTCCACAAGGCCCTCCATGTCTGAAGAGAGGCGGCTGAGCCCCGCGCGCTTGCTCGCCCCGCCCCGCCGCTCGCCCCGCCCCGCCTCACCTTTCCTGCACTGCAGTGACACCAGGTTGCACTCATAGTCCAGGGGGGTGATGATCACGTGGACGAAGTTGAACTGGCCCTGACCAGACGAGAGGGGGCCGTCCTGAGGGCCGCTGCCTGCTACCGCCTCACTGGGCCCACCTGGAGGCCGAGTGCATCCTCCTGGCCAGCCGCACCTGGCCTGCGTGCCCACCTGGACGTGCTGGAGTGCATGAGCACACGGGCACGTGGCCCCGCTGGTCCTGCCCGGTGGCACACCTGCCTACCGCATAGATACCTCCACACCTGGACGGTTCCCAAAGCGATATTTGCCTGGGTCACCGTGTGCACCCCATCTCTGTAAAGAGCCACTCCATTGCCTCTTGTCTGTCCTAGGGGAGCCTGACCAGCCTCCCGACAGGCACCCCTGCCCTCTGCCCAGCGGCCCTGGGTCTTGGCTCAGATGTCCGCTCTGGAGGAGTAAGTCCAAACACCAGGACCACAGCCCGCAGCCAGCCCTGCCATGTTTCCTGTTGGGGTTCCAAGGCCCTGTGCCCTCTCGGGTAGGGTGAGCCCCCACAACCATTCCTACATGAAGCCGTGCACCCTCTAGGCATTCACGCATCTGAATTCACTTAGTGCCACTAAAACTGGGCAGCAGGTGGCCAGGCGTCATTTCACGTGACACAGCGGGGGGACTGGGGACGCCATTACTCTGCTAAGCTCAGGGCCTCTCCCAGGGCACAGCCGGGGGCTCAGGAGTGCCCCCACCCGGGCAAAGTTTGCCGCCACCCTCAGAACACACCAGGGACGACGGCCCAGCCCACCGCCCACAGAGGGCCCTCACTTTGATTGTGCCCAGCTTGAAGTCCTCGCCAGAGTCGTTGTAGACGATAGAGACGAAGTCGTTGCCCAAGTGGCGCTTCTTGTCACAGCGGTGCTTGTCCACGTCCTTGGTGGGCATCAGGGTGGCAATGTGGAAGACGGCTGCAGGCAGGGCAGGGGCTTCTAGGGCTGGGCTCAGAGCCGGGGCAGGCCCTCAGCCTCGCGAGGGGCGAGGGGACGGGGCCGGGGAGGGGCCCCGCACGGCGGCCGCCCGGCCCGCCCGCACCTTGCATGATGTCGTCGTGACAGCAGTAGGTGAACTGGGCGTCCGCGGTATGG